AAGAAGCAAGAAGAGAGAGAGAGAGAGAGAGAAAGGGAGAGTTCAAGGTTTCCGCCTGATATGCTGAGACCATGTGATCAGCTCACAGCTGGGAGAAAGTGCCCAAACTGTCAGAGCTGATGTTGTGGCATGAATGGGCCGCCTTCGCATCTATTTCATTCAATCACGGCTTAGTTTCGCCAGCGCTGCTTGTTGTCCAAAGCGAAGAGGGTTGTTGAATTCGCAGCGCTTGCAAGGGCCAATTTTGCCTTGCCCTAGAAATGGGCAGAGCCCCAGCAAGCCCACCGCCCTTGAGCTGGCAATTACTCAACAGATCTCAACAGTATGTGCCAAGTTGTGATTATTTTCTTCCGCTGCAGTCATAATGGAATTGAGTAAGATGCCAGCCCCAGATTTGGGAGCCTCCTACAAAGGAGCGATTCCACCAATCTATACCAAACTGATCCAAGCGTATCTGTCAGCTTCTCATGGGAACAGCCCTGTGCTTGCTGGCAGTTGTGTCACGGTGCCTCAACTGGACGAGCCGTGTAGCTACCTTGTAGATCGCAGTGTCTAGAGGTCCGGTGTATTTGGCACCTGCGACAGGGAGCCAGCAATGATTGCAGAGAGATGGGAGACAAGCAGTGTGCCAAGTATGTTGGCCGTTTGGGCAGGACAAGTCTAAGCTTCGCTGTTGGTCTCGTGAACTCTGCTTGGCACGGCAAACTTAGCTCGCCATATTCTAGCTCTGAAGACCGGCGAGAGCAGAGGGCAGAGACCACTTGCCATTTTTTCCTTGAGCATAGGCTGGCTCATAGCCTAGTCTGTCTCGAACGGACGTGTTGTCAGCACAGCGGCGCAGCTCGTAGCACAACTCCAGAAAAGCTGCTGCTTTTTCGAAACTCAGTTTGAGTTTGGTGGAATTTGGTAGATATACTGTGTCAGCCGAAAGCATGTGCATTGCAGCATTCAAGGCTAATAGCCGGAGCTGCCAGCCTGGCCCTGAAGTTCCAAAGCAGAAGCATGGCACGAGGTTCATGGCGCAGCATTGCGGGGCAGGTAGATAAATTTCTTGGGTGAAAGTGACGTTTAAGTGCGATGGTCCTGCAGAGATGCAGCTTCGTATCGCGTGCCTGGTGCGCACTGTGCGCAAATGTCGCCAGCTGGGCCTAGGAGGCGTGGGAGATGGTTGCCGTTCCCAAGGTGATCGATGGCAATCTTCTGTCGAGGGTCTGACATTTCCTGCCGCACGGCGACCCCAGATCATCCGAACTGGTCCCACCCCCTTTGCTGCCGTTGTGGCTGATCAGTGGACTCCCCACGTTGGCAGCGTTGTCGAACGCCTGGAGTCTGGGGCCCTGCTGGTGGATCTGGGCTGCGAGGTGAGAGGGATTTTGTCTGCACAAGGCTATTTTGCAAACAATACCGATGAACTCGGCCGATTTTCTATTGGTGATGCTGTGACATCGTATGCGTGCTGCAAGTATCCAGCATCTCAGCTGTGATATTGGCACTAGACGCCATCATTTAGCAGCGCAACCCGAATGTCCGTAGCTTTACATCAGACACCAGGGCTCTGTGTCTGAGCGGGGGGCCCAAAGGAGGCTAAGAGCTGAGCAATGAGGCGTTCGAGCGCTGACACTCACATGCCTGAACCCCTCAAGCTCCAAGCTAGTAGCCAGTAATTGCATAACCGCTCACACGTTGGCTGCCGCCTCCCGAGCCAGCAAAGCGCTGAGGAGAGCAAGAAGCTTTTCCTGAGCCTGCGCCGTCGGGACATCCCCAGGGAGCGATGGCGCAAAGTCATTGCTGATGGGCAGAAGCCTTACTTAGGACGCGCTTCCTCACACAATTTGCACGAGTTGATGGCTTGCCATCCCTACTTCAGCGGATTGTTTGTTGTAGCTGGTGCAAGAGTAGTCAGAGTTTCTTGGTAACCCCAATGCCCAATCTCTCATAGTTTTGTCAGAGTTATAGAGTCCTAAGTTTCGGGTCGGGTTTGGGATTACCAAAATCCACTAATTAAAGAGAGAGAGAGAGAGAGAGTGAGAACGAGAGAGAGAGAGAGNNGTTATAGCAGTGAGAAGAAGAAGAAGAGTGAGAGTTATGAGATGTCTTTTTTGAGTGGTGGCAAGTTGGCTGCAGTATCATGCTCTTTCAGCGGAGTGCGCCTCAGCCTGGGGGCCCTGAAAGGAAGAGAAAAAGTGGGAAACAAACTTGTACCTAGGGAGTGACAACCTTTCAATCCTTTAGGTGCGTGAGATGCGGTGTCGTAGCAGGCATTCACAAACAAGAAACAGCAAACAAAAGAACCCAGATCTGTCTCGCCCCCCCCCTCACCCCCCCTCCCCCTTCCTTTTTGGGCTTCTCCTTGCCCTTGTTGGGCGGAGACAAGCAAATGCCACCACGCTTTTACAAGCACTATAGCTGGTGTTGAGAGTACAGGCACACATCCCGCCAACAATAATTAGAGGCATGCCATATGGGGTGCTGATGTGGATGTCGGTGGGCGCGCCCACACCCTCTCTTTCTTTCAAACTTTCTTCATGCAGACAGCAGACTCGACTCCAAAAACGTGTTTGGGGCGGGCATATGGCCCGGTGGTTCGTCCGCCTACCTCATAAAGCAAAGCAAAGCAAAAAGGGGAGAGAGAGAGATTTGCGAAAGACTTAGTCGCGCGTGATGGTCCCTGAGGTAAAGTTTCCCACCTCCCGTTTTGAGTGTTTTTTTTTGCCAATTTTGCCAGGGTTGGTTTCAGTCAGGAGGGGGTTCTGAAAAGACTTGCACTTGAAGGCAAGCAGTGATAGAGCCAGCTTCTTGTTTCCAAAGCTGTTCTAAGCTTACCCACCACACTGCTCACAAACCTAGTTTTTTGCTCCAGGAGTTGTGCAGCGCCTGGCACCCTTCGGCATTTTCGTAGACCTGGGAACCGAGGTTCCAGGCCGGCAACTCGGACCATATGCTCATATATTCTTTGACGATCAACACAAGCAATGCCAAAAGCAGGGCAGGATACTGCATGGGACCCTGATGCAGTTCTCAGCAGTCTAGTATCACATCTTTTGCTTTGCAGCTTCTTGACCTAAGTTTCCTGTTAGTCGTAGTCTGGATGCACGTGCAGCAGCGCGCAGCCAGACATCCAATCCGTCAAGCCATCCTCAGCCACAATCCGCACAAGCCCTAACGCCACTTGTCAGATCCTGTCAAACTTGCAGAGTATAAGTAGTACCTGTAGAGCTCGTAGCCAGGCCTCCTGCCGAATTCAGAGCTCCCTGAGTCGCTGCGCCAAGCCAAGGTCCGGCACCCAAAAACTGAAGAGCTCTTAGTGAATTTAGGTCATGCTCAGGCAATCTCATCCTTGGAGGCTGAGAGTGCGTGTGTCAGGATTCACAGCCATGGCCTTGAACAATTTCCGTTGCTGGCCCATGGCAGGTAGGCGATCCTGTCACGGTCTACGTCGTGACGCGGTGAAATTTCGTAAGCAGTACGTAACAGGGACAGTTCCAACTGTGTCATTGACTGTGGTAGTCTCTCATCAGCTCTGTATGTTAGCATCGAAACTCAGCCTAAACCTGTCGAGGTGAGTAAGCGGCCGGACTCATCGAAAATTGATTTATCCATCAGTCCCAGATGCTTGGCTAACATCAGAGGGCGCAGGAGACCGTGCATAGATGGTGTCTTTCACACATATTTGCTGGGATGATCCGTGGATGCTTTGGGATAGGAACTTGCTGCAATTTCTGGCTGCTGCAAGAACTGGTGGGGAGTGGAGTTGCGGCTCCTCGGGGACTTCGAATTCCTAAGTTCCATGTGCTGCTGCTGCTGTCGCCGCACAGAAGACAAAAAGCCATCCCAAGCAGCTTTTGGAGACACCGAAGCTAGGCGTTTTGCAACAAGTAGATCCCAAAAATGTAAGCACCCAAGCGCCCTCCAGCGCTGCATATGCCCGCCTTTGGTAGTGCCAATTCAATCATCTTGGGATCTTCGTCATGAGGTTTCAAGATTTGCTAGATTTATATACAATGGAAGCCTGGGCACAGTAGCTGCCCCTGGTAAGGAAGCCAAGCTCTTAGGCGATGGGTGGAGGCAGGCCACACTAGTTGGTTTGTGTGGGTGAGCTTCTCAAATCTACTGTGAAGTCATCTTGTTGTTGGAAACTCTGGGCTGAGATCTTGTCCTGATAGGCTCAGTATTTGGCAAGTTGGGCACGGCATGTCTTTCAGGTGTGGAGTTGCCATGACGTAAGGCTTCATTTCCTGTGTAGGGAAGTTCGCTCTCAAGAGCTCTTCTTACTTTACCTGCTCTCAACAAAATGTCAGGTCCCCGGAGATGCACACACTCCACACAAAGGCTCGGCTCAGCTCCCGCTGGAGGGTTGGTTGTGGTTGCAATCGTGCATTTCCAAAAATGCTGCTGGGCTTGGGGACGTTAAGATTTTGAGAGATGTTGCTAGCAGGGGAAGGAAGGACAGGATCAACATGTAGCAGTGAGTCTGCAGGTGCTGGACAGTCAGACTCTTAAAGTAAAGCCTCAAGACTGCCAGAGTATTAGCGCAGGCACTGTCATTGGCTTTCTTGAGGGTCTCGGTGCCTTCATCGACATGGGCCCCTGGGCTGCTCTTGGCTTGAAGTCACGAAAATGTATTGTTTTTTAAAAATGCGCTTACATACCGGCGAATGCTGATGCCCGTCGGGCTGCAAGACCCTGCCGACATTGGCTGCTTGCACGGCTTGATTCGCGTTTGTACACTGAGGGCCTAGCTGCTGCCAGGTAGGCGCGAAGCTGTAAAGCACAAAGCTGAACTCGGCGCGAATCCCATTGTGTCAAACCTTTAACCTGAAAACCGCAACTTCCACACCAAAGTTGTAAGCCACCAGGTCTGAATCAACAGACGGGATGCCAATTTTGACAAGCCCAGGTTTCGAGCGGCCAGCACTTCTCCCATTCCAGGAGATCGAGGCAGTTCTCAGATTGAACAAGCAGCGCGAAGCCGAAGATAGCCAGCTTGCCCTGACACATCCATGGCCCAGACGTCCCAGACCTTGAAACATCCTTAGGAACTTGTTGCTGAAACTTACATCTTTCGAATTGCAGTGTCTTTGCAGAAAGACGGTGGTTCTGCAACAGACCCAGGCTGTTCTGTGAGCTAGGCATTGAATCTCCCGTGGATACCCGGCAGGAAGCCGAGACTGACCTGCAGCGTGGCAGTGAGCTCACGGTGTACATCACGGACAAGCAGAGCAAGTCGGGAAAGGTAACCCTTGCGCTGCAACCGTCTCATCTGCCAAAACAAAGCTGGGAAGATATCATTGCTGATGGACAGACACCCTATAATGGTGTTGTTCGGCGCATTCTGGACTCTGGTGTGCTTGTTGACATTGGGTATGACTCCCTTTGCTTCTTGCCCAACTCCCACTTACCCAACAACTCTGCCACTGACAATTTCAGACTTGGCCAGCACTTGACGGTTTATGCGGTGCAGAAGCGGGTAACGACGGGAAGGGTGTCCCTTGCACTTGAGCGACGTCCCCGTCCTTTGGATTGCCCTTGGAAGACGTATCCTGCGACGGTCAGAGTCCTTACCGTGGAATCGTGCGAAGTATCAACGAGTTTGGGCTTTTTGTGGACTTTGGTTGCTCAGTTGTCGGCCTGCTGGATGAGGACCACGATGATCCAGCCCTTTTAAAAAGGCAGTCCACTTTGAAAGCGGGCGACATGATCACTGTTTATCCAATCTGTAAAGACTTGAGCAATGGGCGCGTCTACCTCTCCATGAAGAAGCGCGAGGCGCCCATCCTTTCCGTCTGGGACCTCTCTGCAGATGGGCAGACGGCCTATCCTGCGCGGGTGGTTTCTGTGCATGGGAAGGACTGCACGATGGATCTCGGAGCCGACATGCGGGGTCTGCTAACCCGATCCTCTGCTCCCATGGAAGGCTACAAGGAGCTGGAGATAGGGGAAACCGTCCAGGTGTACATTATTCGACGCAATTCAGGGACTGGTTCGCTGACATTGTCATTGACACCATGGCCGTTCCGCAAGGTGAGTGTTGCGGAAACCTTTGCCGACTTCCAGCGTGACAATTTGAAGGTTTATGACGGAGAAGTGTATTGTATTCAACATGGGCACATCTTCCTGGACATTGGATCAGAGGTTGGAGCAGTGATGCCTGACACAGTGCCGTTGCCATCCGCTTGCCAGATCGGAGACCACATTCGCGTTACAATTTCTCATCACGACCCTCGGCGGGGGAGGTTCTGTGTGATGCCAGCTGATCTGCTGGCAAGTCAGGAGGGGAGAGGCCCTGCTGAGTATGAGGATGGCAAGCAGGCGGCAAAATGCATTCCTGTGGCTTTCGAAGCGAATCGTGCTGTACTGGAAGATCTGGAAGATGATGCCATGAAGAAGGAGAGCAGTCAGTTGTCAGGAGCCGCGTGGTTTTGTTCTTCATGGCCGCGGGATGTACTGCAGGTCAAGCCTGCTGTTAGTTGGCGATCTTGGTTCGCTGTGCCCAGCCTGATAAGGTTAAGCTGAGCCCCAAATTCTGGGCCAGTATCAGATGTACAGCTTGGATTATTGTTTGTGATGAACAACCAATTTTTTCAGGTATATTGGGGGGCAAACTTATAATTGCTGGCAAAAAATCACATGTTGCTCTCGTTGCTGCTCCTCCGAAAACACTCCGGCAGGACCTAGTGCGGGACCCGACCCTCCGAATGCCAAGGGCCGGCTGCAAGAAGTAGTGCAGAAGGAGACAAAGCAGGCTGCAGATTGCGCTGGGGTCGAGGTCGTAGAGTTTAGCGGGCTGGGTTACATCGGGTTTAGAGACAGGGGTTGAACGGATCCATTGGCAGGGCTAAGGTTTGGGGGGTTGGGTGCCTTTTTTTCCAATTGTCAGACTCCGCATTTCCAGTGCGCTGTGCTTGCGACAGTAGTGCAGCACATGCGTGATAATTTCCAGACTCGGCACAAACCGTCCCCTGCAAAGCACGTTCAGCTAATTTGGCTGCCGGTGGCTACCAGTTACTGTCAGGTGCTGAAGCGCGGTGACATCGTCTACACCGTCCGCAGGGATGGCGAGCTCTTTTCAGCCGAGGCAAAGTGGGGAGCAGGGCCAACAGCCCTGAAAATTGCACAGTTCGGAGCGAATTCGGGGATGTTAGGGGAAGATTGCAGGCAAGACCAAACTACGCTTGTGTTGCTCAAAGTTTCGAGACTCTCGAGTTCCAAGTCCTCATTACGGTATGCGCAAGTACTACGTTGAGCCTTTTGCTTACGCTCTCACGGGATCGTGGAAACGAAGTCGCCCCAAAACACCACCGTTCTGCTGGTCAGATAACAGGTGATATTTAGGACCCTTCAGAGGTTGAGGATTTTTGAGCACTGGAAATCTCTGTCATCCCTGAAGAAACGCTGATGAGCAAGCCCACCCTTTTTGGTGAGGTTCGGCTGAAGGAGCAGTTGTTGAGCTTGATGCCGACATTTTCCGAACCTGGGCTTGCTTGGAGTTTTGGGGTAGGAGTCGGTCCATGAGGGTGAGAGGGCTCTCATTCAGCAACATTGCGAGCAAAGATCAGCTCCTTGCAGTTTGGCCAGTGTATCAGGATACCTTCCAGGGCGACGCGCGACGAACGAAGGTGCAGGCAGAGCACAGTGCTGCGCAGGAAGCACTGCGCACTCTGCGGGTTGGAGCAGGGAAAAGGTCTATGCATTGTTGCACTGGCTACTCCAGGGCAGGCGTTCAGTTTTTTGTGGGGTTCTAGTCAAGCCTGGCCCATCGCCGCCTGCTAGCTTCTTCACTACAGCTAGCTACTGTAGGATCTTTGTTCTCATGCGGGGTTGAGGTAGGCAAATGAACCGATCTGGCGCGGCATTATAACTGGCTGAAGCTGATGGGACACTGCCACTTGTGCAGAAGTTGATGCGTATGTGCGATGCGCCGACCTGCGGAGTCCCGCAGACGATTTGCCATGTTATCTCAGTTCGCATGCCTTGCCGGGGCGGCCAAATGCAGCAGCAGATGGCAATAGAGATCTCGATGAGTGACTGTCAGATTGCCTACGCTTCACCGACCAGTCTCTTCAGTTTGGACATAGCAGTCGTCTTGACGAATTGCACAACAATGCAAGACGACCAGAAGCATCCACGTACGTGTGATTACAAAAGCTCGCATGCTGCTTTGGGAAGGAAATAGAGGTCCCCAAGGAGGGATTTTTGCCATGGTGCTGTATGTTGGCCAACTCAGCCGAGTTCCGAGCCTGATGCTCAGAAGGTTTTGATTTTCCGATCATGCAGAAGCTTGCAGCCGCGCCCAAGGCTCTTGGGTGGCGGACCTCGCCGGACTTGAGCTGTGGCAGTTCGTTCCTTGCTAGGGTTTATGGCTTTTGGGGCCCTCGAGAACAGCAGTTAGGTTCGAGATTTCGAGGTCAGCAGCGAGTGTTCCATTTCGACTTCCCTAGCTGAGCGGCTTCAAAGCGGTCAAGTTGTGAACATCCGATTTGTCGGGCTCAGCGAGGCAGCCTAGTGCGACCCAACTTCCTGGGACAAGCCAGTCCTTTCGTGCCGAAAGTTTCGGCAGTATGTCGTCGGTGGCTTCCAGCTTGGGACTCAGCTGCTGCTACTCGTATGGGATCGGGTTCCGGTCTTGCGAGCAGGTACATTGAAACCTTGGGGTCAACATCTGGCCAAGCAGCAGAGGAAACAGAACATGCGTCAGCTTAAGCAGAGTGGTGCAACTGGCTGTTTCCAGAGTGTGGGACTGAGGCGAGGCATGGACGTCCTTCGAAGTGGTGGATGCTCCGCGCGTGTTGGGGCGACTCAATGTGCGGCCCAATCGTGTGACGTCTAACGTTATGGTTGCTGCGCTACTGGCGGTTGCTGGGCCCTAGTGGACAGGAAGCAGTCTCCATGAATTACTTTGCCTAGGCTTTAGTCCCTGCATGACGCCTCATTACAAGATAGTTACGCATTAGCGCCTCAGAACGTACAGCTCTGAGTTAGAGTGTGTCCAGACTTGGCCATGCTTGCAGCGTCGTGCGGAAAGAATGGATTTGCTTGCATGCTCCAGACAAGATGGCATGATCAACCCTGCCGAACCTCATGCCAGGTCCTGATGCTACGTGAACATGTTAAAGCCATTGACCAAACTGGCCACGAGCTTGGAACGTTGTGGGTGGTTGCCTATCTTGGACGGAACAAAGGTCTAGGACTTTGTTGTTCGAGTCTGATGAGAGAACGGCCAGCGCGTTTGCTTGTTAAGAAGGGCAGGCAGGATCAAGCAGAAACCCAGAGTGTCCAACTTCTCTTGCGGTGTGTGGCGTGCTTCGCATAACTCCTCGAATGCCTATTGGCTTGCTTACGCTGCCATGAAGAAGGTCTCCATGCTGCTAAGCTATTCAGCTGCGTGCGTGAAGCTGTACTGGCTGGCAGAAGACGGCCCTGCCCAAACAACAAACAGTGCGACAGTGTGTCCTAAGCTGCATGAGCAGTAGGCTGTAGCTCTGCAACTGAAACTGTAGCAGGCGTGTCATATAAGCTAGCCCACTGGTAGGAAGTATCACTGCATACGCATCAACCGTAGCTTACCTGTCCAGCAGGGTTGAGGAGCCCTCAAGCAACAGCTGGGCTAGGCTCTCCCAGAGCGCAAAGGCATGCCATGAATGTGGTACATAACGGGGCCGAAGCTGGCACAACGTGCTGCCCGGCATGCGTGGCAGGGCGATGGCAAGGAGGAAAAGATATCTGATGCTTATGCTCGTGCTGGCGACGAGCGCTACCCACTGGATGTGCAGGATTTCCTGAAACTTCTGCGGCGGAAGTGCGGCTCCGTGGTTCGTGCATGGCGGACGGCTTTGGACAAGGACGGTGGCAGTGAGCTGGAGTTTTGCGAATTCGTGAGTGCTGTTCGCCAAATGGGTTCGGGTATTGGACAGAATGCAAGAAGTCTGTGGTTCAACCTGGATGTGGACCAGAGTGGCACGCTCAGCCTCTATGACCTGGACCCAACAGCTGCGCATGCCCTGGACAAGTTTCGCTACTTGTGCACCAGTCGAGTCTTGCCTTTGAAAGCTTTTCTTGAATTGGCTAAAGCCAGAATCAATGTGTCACGTCCGGTACACGCAAACTGAGATCTGATGTGGATAAGGCTATGGCTCCATAAACGCGGCCTTCGAGCAATTGCTGGATGTGAAGAGATCTGGTGTGGTGACGCTGCAGGGCTTCATTGATGCCGTCAAGGAGCTAGGCTATGAACCGGCAGTCGCTGAGGAGCTATTCAACTGGCTACGTTCGCGGCCGGGTACCCTTGGCTTGCGGAAAGGTGATCTGGAATTCCTGCAGAAGTGGGAGAACTCGAAGCGTGACAAGAAACAGAAGGCCGGAACCCTGCATGTGGGTTGGATCAACCGTGACCCATCTGCGGCTGTGGAGTATCGGAAGATGGCAGATCGGCTTGCAGAAAAGCATGGCCAGCGACGGAACCAGGAACAACGAGTCTCGGAGTGCCCGAGCTGCGTTAGGACCGCAACAAGGCCTTCTTTGGTCCCTGAACTTCAGTGCTATATAGTGTTTGCTGAGGACATCGTTCACGGCCACGGCTATGGTCATTTCCAAGGCTGCCGCTAAAGTGCGGGGAGACTCGGCACAGTCCTCCGTGGATCCAGCTGCTCTCGAGGAGACCCGGCCTCAGACGCCCAGCGCACCAAGTCCGCGCAGTCCGGGCAAGAAGGGCCCAAAGTTGGAGGCTCCTGCGACCACAGCGTCCATGGCCAGTTCGCAGGAGACTTTGGGATGCTATGCCATGAGACTGGCCTCGGACAACGAGAACAGCTGCACCAAGTTCTTGAAGCACCATGGGCGCACGCAAGAGAGATCCCCTACCCCGGACACGTGAATCAGTGAAGCTGCCAACTGATGCCCAAGCCCAGAGTACCATGTGTTAGGACTGTTAGGATGACACTTACTCCGCCGCAATGAATGCAACATGCAACCTGAAATCTGAGTTACTGGTAGTTGCGTCCTGCAGACCGCAACTCGATTCCTTAGATCGCTTTTTAAGAAGGTACCTGCTGGACCGCTTCGGTTCACTGGCAGCGGCCTGGGATGCGATGGAGCCAGCCGAAGTTGGTGAAATCCGACGCCCGGCAGCAAGGGGGACTGCATTTTGATCATTTTCACATTTCTGTGGATGGTTTGCATGCGTCAAAGCATGCGTGGTCCGGGTGTCGAATAACATCTGAAGAGGTGATGCTGGCAATGGGGACTGAGGCAAGAGCGACTTCGAGTTTGTAGTCTGCTTCAAGCTTGGCAGCATGGTTCAATTTGATTCCCTATTGGCACTCGCGCATGAGGAGCAGTGAGTAATGTGCATCATATAGCTATTGGTTTGCGCTGGCCCCGGGTGACTGCCGCCCTGTCAATGTCCGAACCCTCTGAGCCTGTTGGGTTGGCGTGAGCAGTCACCTGATGCCCCGGTTTGTCCTTTTTTGCAGAAATAAGGCTACTGCAGGAATACAGATGCCCGGCGCCTCTTCGAGGCTCTTCCTAAAAAGGACCCGAGTCAGCAGAAGTGCTGCCGGCCTAGAGCTGAAGCAAATGTGCAGGTTCAGGAAAGGAGTGGCTGTGGCAAAGAAAATCGCAAGGTTGCTAGCAACAGAATTTTCTCGGAATGCTCACGAGCCTTGTTAGGGAAACAAGTCGTCAATCTGGGCAACCATTTAGATGCAACGTCTATGTTGAAAGCAGCCATGCTACCTACCCTTGTGCCACCATGCGACAAGATCATACAAAGTGTAAATGCACTTACAAGAGTCCTCGGCACCCACAAGATACGCCTTGTACAAAGAGTACCAAGAGTTAGGACCTGATGCTTTGATTTTAGTGCGTGGTCTGTTTGACGTCTGAAGGACTCCCATCGCCTTACCTGGCGGGACCTGGGCTTGAAGCCTGAGGAATGGCTGGCCTTCCTCACGCAGAAGAAGTGGGAGACTCCTGTTTGCTTTTTTTTTCATTCCAGTCACTCTTGTTATGTTTTCTCACGAATCTCCGGCAACATTGGGGCGGCTCAGGAAGTCGCTGCTGATGGTGGAGGAGTGCCTGACAGAGCGATTTTGTTCTTGTGTGGCAGCGTCAACAGTCAAGAGTCAGGAGATGAAGAAAGGTGACGGTGACGGTGCTCGGCTGGCCTTGGAGAGGCACTACCATCGAGCCAAGCTTCACGGCCATCAACTGCAGCTGGAGCCTCCCGTGCTGCATCGCAGGAGCTGCCTAAACATGCCGCGCTACAAGTATGTAGGTTTTGGCTTCCTTCTGGATCAGGTCCACATGCTATTAGCTTGAAATCTGAATTCGACCTTTGAAGCTCAATGCAGTACTGAGGCTTTGCCATGCTTCCTGCTCCTGAGGTTTGGCGAGACGCCCTTGAAGCGCCACCAGAACGACGAGCTGCCCAAGTGGTGTCGCCCAAGGTGGGCCGGCTACTAATGCATGACAAATTTTAAAAGAGAGAGGTCTCATTCAGAACTGGCAGTTTTTCATGCATTCAGATTCAGCTTCGAGCTCACTTCGAGGGCTTGAAGTATAGTCGTTTCCCACTATCCGAGGCATTGCCCGCACGATGACATAGGTGCACTGCAACATCAGTTGCCCTTCCATGCTCTTCTTAGGTCTGCGAGAACTCGTTTGCAGCGGGGCGCAGGCACCGCGCTTGCCGCATAGTCTGCCTCAAAGAAGCCCAGTGGCGCAAAAGAGGGCGCATCATCCCGTCGGAAGGACGCAAAAAAAAACTCGAAGCGCAGCGCAATCAACTGCAGCAGATAAACAACTTGACAGCAGAACGTTTTCCATAGAGACATACATACCATTTTGGCAAGCAGTAGCAACAAGTATCATGCTTGACAGGGCTGTTCGCACTCACCAGCTGAATGCCTTTCTTGAGCATTGCCTGGCCTTCCTCTAAGAGGAATGCCCAGAATCTTCGCAGGTGCGTAAATCAACATTTCACAGCTGAACTCAGTTGCTAAATGTGGTGCCCGACACTGGGCACGTGCCAGCGGATTGACCGATTGGAAAATTGTTCCGCCCAAGCTGCCGCATTACTTGCAATCAGTCCAGGTCGTTCACGGGAGACGTCTTGTGGGAGTTGTCACACACTTTCATAATTGAAGGCTAAGGCTCCATCTATTTGTCCGTGTCGTTGTATCCAGCCAGTGGTAGGCGAGGCCGGAATTATCTTGGTTCGGGTGAAATATGAGTGGGTGTAGAGTGTAGACAGGATGTCAGCTTCTTCCTGTCCTTCAGACAGCCCCACTTGTCACCTCCGCGAGGGCGGGAAATGCCAGCGCCGATGCCGTGCAGCATACCAACCTGTCCTCAGAACAAACCAACTCGCATGCAGAATGTAAGAACAGTTGCTGCTTGTCCAAAACCGCTATGGCTGTGACTGAAGACGATGCTCCTCTCACCCTGTCGGCAGCGCTGGAGCCCGGAGCACGTAGCTTGAGGTATGAGGGCGTCAGCGAGCAGCTGCATAGTTTAAACGTCCGACACGAGATGGCACGGTAAAGCCGTTCAGCCCATCATGGCCCGTTGAGCGCCATGACGCCGGCTGATGCTGAAGGCTGCACATCACAAGCTTTGTACTTCTGGGTTTGGCCAAGTGATGACAAATCATTCCCTATAGTGCTTTGCTTCGCAGCTTCCAGTGCCTGAGAAAAGCATTGCGTCCCTGGCGTTCGCGAACGTAGCTTTGAGCGGACATAGGGCCATGCTATCGGATCAAGCTGATGATCGCATGATGCTCTTCTCCTTACTCAGCAAAGCCCAGCCCCACAACTCGCCGGCAGATGCCAAGCCGCTGCTGCCACTCTTGGCATCCCTGGCGGCTAGACGAAAAGCGCTGGCAACCTCCAAGGCGAGGGAAAAGAACCTTCATGACAATCGACTAGTGTCTGGCTAGTCTTCCTCCCCGCAGGAGGCTGAAAACATGTTCAGGTTTGAGTCAGAAGGTAGCAGCAAAGTATTCTTGATATTTCTGATCAGCGCGAAGGGTTGGATGAATCTTTCATTGCGGTTCGGTAGGTGGGTGTGATGTCATTCTGAGAGATGGGGTGCGGCTGCTGCAAGCGCTGCCATCAGATTTCAGAGCTCTTAGACTGTCGCAACACGGCCTGAAGTCGCCCTGGCAAGTTGTACACGTCTGGCCTTTTCTCTGCGATCACGTCTTTTCAATATCTTGGGCAGCTGATGCTCAATGCTGGTCATGTTGCACATGTTGACTTCCGATCAACAAGTTGGCTGTTGCACTCGCTCCCTACCATCACCGTCAAGGGAAGGCAAGCCACCTGGGACCCACGTGGTCATTCTATTCTGGACAGAGCTTAGCTGATTTGGATGGCACTACAAGGAATGGTCCCTTTCAGGTGCAATGTAGCATCATTCCCCGCTTCAGTTTGACATCAATCAAGCCTGATCAGATTATGGACATGACTGGCAGATGCTAGGTGCCCGATACATTTCACCTCGCAATGGATACCATTTTCATGCTGCACGCTCGAACTCAGGATGGCGACGGTGGCCAGGATGCAGCAGGCAAAAGACTTGCTGAGCCGAAGCCGCTGAGGAGATCGGCGTTTCGCGTGTCACTCGTGAGTATTGAGGTTGATAGATTTATAACTTATAAGTGCATCAAGGTGGATGGTTGGATGTATTGAGTCTGGGGTTCAGAGGGCGCAATGTTCGCGCAGAGGGACGAAGCAGACCGCGCGCTTGCTCGGATAGCTTGCGGTAATTATTCTGTAGCGAACAAGTGTTGCCAGGAAAGCGAAGGCAAAGATGAAAGCCAAGAGCCTTGGCGATCGGGAACAGTATGGAAGCTCACTGAGGCTCACTTACCTCTGCGTAGATGCCGATGTGTGTACAGACCTTTAGTTCCAACTTTGGTAGCAACTCTTCTCTTGCTGACTGGGTCTCTGAAAGTTGCAAGGTAGCATGTGATGGTGTAGTGGAATCCTGTGGATCACCGGTGTCCATTTTGGCTCGGGCAAATAGAATCCAGCGCAACCGAAGCGACCGTCAAGCCGGCGTCAGCAGTCAGACATCAGCCTCAAAGATGGTCCGCAAGAACGTCACCAAGAGCGGCTCGTGCAAGCATTCGGACAGTTTTTCTCTCCTTCAGGTGACAAAGAGGAGAAAATAGATGGAGGCCTTATGCACAGGACCATGGGCCTGCTATGGCCTGCAGATGAAAGTCCCTTAATTACTTGTTTTCCTCTCCTGAAGCAGTGACAGTAATCTGGCAGCTCAAAGAACACCAGGCACGGAGCGCGACGGATCTCCCGACTCCACGCGCGCCTCCGACTCGCCAAGTGAAACGACGCCTGCAACGCCCAAGGTGCGGTCGGTAGTACGGCCCTTGTTGTTGCTGTGGCCAGCTGTGGGGTTTCGGGATGTCGAATTTCAGGCAAAGTGGTTTCGACCCTGAACGCGTCTTGAAGCTGCCCCGACAACCCAAAACTTGCCACCAGCCATTGCTTGCACTGGCCTGGGTAGTTACTGAGTCCAACGTCTCCAGCGCTGTTTTCGGTTGTAATTCACAGTTCTGCTTGCATCAATGAACAGTGCATCCCCCAAGGGGCTCCTGTGCAACATTGAACGTGTCAACGTGGGGCTTGACAAGTTTCCCACGAAATTTCGAAATGTCATGCAAACAGGAAGCAGGGCCTACCACCTACGACCCGAACCTGTGGTACATCCATGGCAACAGCTATGACCTGCACCTTGGGACATCTTGAAATGGCTGTTGTGAGCAAGGATTGCACAGCTGCCTATTCTAGGGACTCTTAGCATCTTGAGCATCAAGTTTGGGGAACAAACATTTGCAAGCCACTCAAGGCTCAACTTGCTATGCCCGTTGCTTAGGCATGAGTTTGTGGACAAGCACCCTGGTGGTCGCATGGCAATTTTGACAGGCAGACGCCAAGAGCTGTGCTTTTCTGTCGATCAGGAATTTTTTCCCGCCAGCACGCAGCTCTCAAATTTACTTTTGCGCTGATCACGAGCTGTGCAGCTGGCAGCCCCCGAAGCCGGCCCGACCATCTGGCTTGAACTGGTAGAATCTGGCAGAAGGACCATTGGAAGAAACTCTTCGAAAGACAGCGCCATCTAAGAAGCTCGCATTTCCACTCTCCTCGCAAGCACAAGTTGGAACCAGTAGCAAACTTTGGCAGGGCGAGGCCGTGAATGCACTGCCCTTTTTGAGTCGCCAATGCCTCAGATGTCGAGTGTGAGTAGAGTGGTTTGGGTCTGGGGCTGGATTGAGCTGCTGTGTCTTGCTGCAATGATGTGTCCTGTGCTTCTCAAAGTTTGCACGCCTTGCCTTGTAATGACACTGGATGCCCCAAAAAATCTGTGCTGACTCCAAGTTCAACATGAGGGTGGAGATGTAGGTGATATTAGGTGGTGCATGTAAGAAGCTGCACATGTAGCGCTTCCCACGTCTGACCCGGCAAGACGCAAAGGTCTTTGCATGGGAAGTGGTTTAGAATGCGTCTTATTCCTGGTCCCAAGCATCCCAGGTACCATCCATGGAACGACAAACACCGGAAGGTGTTGAAGGCTTACGGAGCGGCCCCCCCACCACCAGATCCTTTCTACGAGGAGATCAAGGACTCGGACATGTGAATGGCTTCAGGGCCAGAATGCAAGCTTTCAGAATCTTCAGAATCAATGCTGAATGCTCTACTGCTTGCTCTTGAGCTTGGGAAGCGCTGCATCGCTTGTCACAGCCTGTACCCCGGCCCTGACTGTTTGCGATGCGGTGGCAACAACTCCTGGAGTGCCATCTCATCGTTCTTGCGAGGAAGGCGTGCGAAAGGCCTTCCCTGGCGGTTGCGGCAGCACCAGCGGCTTGTTTGCAGGCAGATGTTGTCATCTTTACCTGCGCGTGTAGTACTCACATTGACCCCTTTTTGGCAGGCCTGCCACGATAAGATAAGCCTTGGATGTTGTAGAGATTCAATACATGGTGACTGGTGTGCCTGCCAAGGAATGCGAACGCAGGCGTTTATCGCGCCTTGGCTGAATCCACTGACTGATCCTTGTGCAGATGCCTGCGGGAGCAGTGAAGAACTTCCCAGATTTTAGTGCAGCAAGCATTGCTGGACAGTGTGAGCTTTTCTCGCTACGGATACCTTGTAAGGCTGTGAGAAGGAGCGTGCCTAATGCTAAGGGGCTGTCGATCATGTGGTGCATCATGCCTCTTGGCCAAGTATTGTTCTGTGGTCCAGGCAGTCGGAAGGTGAAGACAGGCAGCGCAAGCCCGTCGCCATGAAGATAAGTAGCCACCATCGGTTTTTGTCGAGGATGTGGTTGTTCTTCATCGTTCGAACACCACTTTCCTGCGCCTTGGCATTTGTCTAGTCTGTACGAATGTCATGGGAGCAGGCAAACACTGCGTCAGCATTGTAACAGTGTGTCGGACGAGCACAAAAATCTCGACAGGTTTGCTTGCCGGATGTATCGTGGCCACCGTGGGCACCCGTTTCTCTCACGAGGGTGGCCACCAGCAAGTCAGCAAGAAGGATCCGCGGCTGTGATTTGCTACCAGACCACCAAGTGACATGTTGAATGGGCAGCGATTGGATGCATCTAGCCGATTCTTGGGTGCGAGAGATGGCATATGCTTATGCCATGCGCAGACCATTTTTCATCCGGGATATGGTCAAAATGAATAAGCATCTAAAACATGTCAAGCAAAGATCAAATATATAGTCTCTCTTCAGGATCAAGAACAGCGAAAATGTAGACCAGAGAGGCAGGGGCCTCCCAGCGGCTCTGCCACGGGCCAAGGAGCTCTTTCAAGGATGTTAGAGGCCTTTCAGGGACCCCACCCCAGCAGGATCAAAAGCAGCAAGTAAGCCAGGAAGGAAGAAGCGAAGGAAGGAACGAAGCAAGGAAGGAGGGAAGTAAGGACATGAAAAGATGTCCTGGATTTTCTGCAACTTTTGTGCTGCTGCCCCGCATCCCCGCCATGTTTCTCAATACAACATGCCAGGAAGTCCAACCAAACTTAGCCTGTTCTCTCGCTTCCTCTGACGGCTAGTGCTGCAAAGTGGTTTTGCGGAAGAATTTCGCACGAACCCCAAAGTCATCCTCATGGACTTGGTTTCCCACATCTTGATTCAGGACGTGCGGCTAACACGAAGGAACCTCCCAGCAAGCTAGGCCGAAGGTGGTGATCTCACGCACAAAAGGAAGGAAGCATGCATGGTGCATCATGATCATACAACCCATGATGAGACAGTTCCCACTTTGGATCTGTTCTAAGGGCTATATGCCAGTGATTCCAGTAGGGGTGTTGCCGGTGCAGACATTACTATTGTTCCGTCACCATTTTTGACCACAAGCAGGATGCCTGGCAGGTCTTCCAAACTTAGCAACAACCTGCATGGCCTCTTCTTCCAAGCTTCCCCATTCCCCCTGGACGCAAACCAGGGAGTCAGGAGCCCCCCCATATTCTGACCCCTTTTGTCGTTTGGGCAAGAGTTACATGTCCTCATTTTGATTTGGGAAAGGCGGGGGAGGGGGACGCGCACCTCCAAACCGGTCTGGTAATTTTCTTGAAGCAACCGCAATGCCTGGAAAACCCTTTCAAGATTATACTACACGTTCCAATCTTCGTATGTGCTCCGAACGCTTCCAAATCGTGTTCTTTGCGTTTGGAGCCTCTGCAGCGGCCGAACACCTGCAAATCATGCTTTTGTTGAACGTCCGCGCACCAACGAATGGCGGCGTTGACAGTAATTATTCGGGGCCTACGAGCATGTCCAAATCGTGCAGTCTACAGTATTTCGTCTGCAGAACACTTCATAATCGTGGCATCTGCAGCTTTCGAGGCTCTCTAACTTTACCAAACTTTAGAAAAATTGATATCTATTTGTATTTTTCCCGATTTCTTTTGACCTTAGGAATTTTCAGCATGTTTTTCTTGATCCTTGAATTCAGCTCATTATCAAGATTCAGTTTTCTGATCCCTCCCTGCTTTCCATCCGTGGTGACAGCTATTTCAGCAGAAGACTGTGGACTGATGAGAATGTGCTCGATCACATTCATGTAAGACTTATGTATGACATTTCTCCGTGGACGCAGTACATGGTTGAAACCTGAGAGGAATGGGTCAACCGCCTATGCATGTTCGCCGGCTTTTTCCTGGTCGGGCCTTCCATGCCCCCACCTCAGCGGCTTTCTGGGCACCCCCCAACAACTTTCCAATCGGAAGATGTGGTTGGTGCAAACGAATGGTTGCTGTCGTAGCTGGCATGTCTACGTGTTAGTCCGGGCCAGCCATGGGCCCGCAAAAACTGGGCCACCAGCAACCTACAGCTTTCTTGCCAACCCAGGGAAGCTTGCCAGGTGCTGGTATTATCAGCACGTCGTCAGCCACCACGTGAGCACCAACCAGGATGGCGACGCCGAGCGCGATGTGGACGTGGAGCCTCCGGCTTGAGTTCTCAGGTAGGTCGTTTAGTCTTAGGAGCCTTTTCACGGCTTACTTTGAATACGTCAGCTGCGGAGCTGGGACCCAGGGGTTTTGACTTCAGGAAATGGGGTTGGCAGAGCTCCGGCCACTTGACCAGTATGCTGCAGGCTGCTCTTATAACAGCATGTGCGGATGCAGGGTTGATTTGCCTGCCGTTTGCTCGCTAAAGCCCGGCACCTGTGGCTGATCTACATCTTCTGGTTCAGCAAGCTGCCAAGGAATACATTTGGATCGCGGACTTGCTGCCTGGATGGATGAAGGCCGCAGGTCCTACCTACTTGTGAGAATACGTTCCAGCACTCGTTGAGATGGGTACGAGCTGTCCATGAGTTGATTGTTGCCAAGTTCCGGGACGCTTATAGAGACCCACGTTGGAGGCACTTTCCCTGCCTGGCATTTTCATTGGCACGGTGATCGAGCTCGGTGTCAAGCGCCGCATAGCTGACATTCAGAGTTGAACTTGCACAGGCCACAAGTCTTCCATGTTATTGCCAGGGCTTCTGATGGGTAGGAGACTGCGTGAGGTTGCAGGCCTTGGAGGTTTTTGCGCAAACTCACGGAATTTCAGAGGCATGATCGTGGACCTCCTTATTCGTGGTCGTGTCTCTTGGGTTGCAGTGGATGCTGTGTGCAGTTCGAGTGGTGGGAGCGAATGAGGGGGTTTCTGAAAGCATCCTTATGGAGTTTCTCTGGGCAGCTTTCACTGCGCCTTGTTCCTTGGACCGCCGAGGGATAAGGCCTAACAAAATTTCCGCTCAACGTCGCAGAGCAAAGCTGCACACCTCAAGCTGCTTGTGTCCTGAGGTCGGTGGGCACAAGGTGGACTACCGTGGCCTGCTTGCAAATGAGTTGGCAACTACTGAGTCATGTCTTTGCAGCTGATTGGTGGAATGCTGCAGAGCCTGGAAGGAAACAAGGCTTGCATGCTTGCAGCCCTTACTTTCAACCATGACACGATAGAAGACTTACTGAAGCCAGCTTAAATCCCTAGATCCAGCCTCAGTTTGGCTTCAATGTTGTTGAGAATGCTTGATGCGCACCTTCTTGATGCAACAACAGTGTTACAGTGTTGGATAGTGTTGGTATTCGGCACAAGGAAGCCATCGTACAGCACGCGCAAGTCATAAAAGATAAGTATTGAGGAGTCTGCGTGCTGTAGCGGTTTGTAGAGAAGACATCACGCCGTGAGCTGTTCCACGCAACAAGGCTTGGGTGGAATTCTTGTGGAGATTCCGCTGTGGTGCGTTCTGCATTACATGTTTGGCAGCTCGCCCGCATGGTGAGTCTGTTCGTTTGCGCCTTGTCTTGTTATGACATGCAGCTTGCCAACTGCCATAAGTAGCTGGAAGGTAAGCATCTACTGGGTTCGGGAAATCTATACCGTGCTGATGCAGAGTCGCGCACAGGAGGTAGCACTGAGCTAGCTGTCTCCCGCTGATTGTTCAAGAGCGGCTGAGACCAGTCGGAGGACATGTCATCAGCATTCGCACCAATTTCTCCCTTATCATGCGCTCGAAGTATAAAGCTCAAGGCAGCAGAGAGCTTGGCAGTACACATTTGTTTCAGCTGGCTGGCAAATTTAAGCTGGAGCTGCAATCGCAACTGGGCGACTGCAAGGGCTACTGCGCATAACTGCAGATCCGCCAACTAACGGGCGATTCTGACTTTCTCAGGCACATTTTTCACAATGATGGTGCAGATGGTGAGCATCAGGATGATGATGGGCTGGATGATGTCACTGTTTGTTGTCTGGTCTGGCAGGCACCCACTCTAGAGGTGCGAATGTCGACTTGAATGGTTACAGCGCTCCTACGCTTGTTGCGGCAAGTTCTGGGCCCTTTCATCTACACAAGGCATGCGTAAGCTAAGGCCCATCCACCCTGTGCTATTTGTGCCAAAGCTGCATTCCAAAGCAGAGATGAGTGGATTTCTTTTTCTTGAGCTGCCATTCTTTGGATACAGACTTGTATGGCAGGCCGGAAACACACTTTTCGGTGAAGAGAGCCGGCATGAGAGCATAAAAGCAGTCTGAGATGTAAGGTTGCGTGCAGCTCAAGGGTTTGGGCCTGGAGCGCGTGTTATTGCCGGGCCTCTGGTTGCAACACCTAAATGCCGGTAGCGATGCTACAACTGTGGGGTCCCATCTGGCTTACTCAGTAGCCTTGTCAAAGAGAAGAGAGATGCAGAAGAACTTTCAATCCAACAAGCCACAACCGCCAAAACAATGAACAGAAGCTGAGGTGCATGTACCTCACCGCAGGCGCCATCTTCGTCCCATGCTCCCAGGTCGCCCATGTCATCCTCTATCCCAACTCCAATGCGTGCCACGACTGGTAAAGTCTGAGCGACTTTCAATCCCTTCGCTGTGAATACTGAATGGGTTTCTGCGCACTTTTGTTGTGGCTGAGGATGATAATCCAGCTCCACCTTGTGGGCGGTAGTGGGGGTTCAGTAGGATGTTGTAGGCTGCAGTATCTTAGTGCCTCATTGTCTCCGGCTTGGTCAGTGGCCTGCTTGTACAGATCGCCGTTCGAGGCACACCTCCACACCCCTGCTCCCGACATCTCCCGACAGACCCAGGTATGACTCGTGGGCAAAGATGCAGATTGCCGAGAGCGTGGACTTTGCATCCGACTCGGACTTCTGGTGCGCCAGCTTGACATATCAGGTCACACATGCGAGCTCGAGGAGGTTTGAGGAGCTTCCGTCCATGGCGTTTGTCACTTTGGATTGCTGTGTTTTGATTGTGGCTGCGGGTTGCGGCTCTCACTTACAGCAGCTTGGAGATGCTTGGATGAGTGCTGAGCCTGAATGAGCCGAAAAAGGAGGGTCCTGAGCCTCTTTATCTCACAGAACGTGGCGTGGAGAGGTACCACGTGGCTTTCGGTCTGACCACCCAGATTGAGCACCACCTGTTCCCCGGCATTGGCAACTTACCTGAAGAAAGGGAGATTGCACTTGCTCCGGCTTGAAGGGCTGATGACAGATCCATGCCTCTTTCGTCCATTGCCATGAACTTCTGGAGGCACCAAGTAGGGCGCCTTTCGGCCATGAGTTCCGCATGTTTCATCAGTCTAGGGACATCACCCAACTGACACCCAGCGAAGGAATCGAAGCTGATGTTTGCTCTGCAAATTTGGAGTTCAACTTCACGCAATTTTCTATATGGGCAGTAGCATGGTCACTCTTCTTGCTGACTGGACCGGCAAGGTTCAGCACAGACTTTGCAGCAAAGCCACAAGAAGCAACAGACTGAAAAAAGCCATTTCAATTTTAGCTGATTTTAGCTGCCTTGAAACGTTGATGTGGAAGAGATGGGCAGTGGCCAATCTGATTGAGCGGCAGTAGGCTGAACTCTCGAAGGGCACCAGATCCAGGTCACCACTGCTACGACACCATCCGCCTGATCACTCGCGATGTCTGCAAGAAGCACGGCGTGTGCCAGGGCAGAAAGAATTGTTATCGAAGGGTGCACGGCTTAGCGAAATGATATCAGTTTTTTCAAGATCATGCACATGTCATTGGCGGTTAAAATGGATCATCGTGGTTGTGATTAAACTGGTTCGATGACGGATCTTATTGCATGAGATCAGCAATCATGACAGTTTAGCTCACGTTTCATAGGCTCTGCCTGGCACACATCGAAGGCATCATCAGGACGTTTCCGCGTCTATCGCCTTCAGGCGCAGTAGGGGAGCGTCGGCAATTGCAGCCGAGGTCTTTGTGATGCTTGACTTTTATATTCTGGCCACCTATGATTTTCTTGCTGCAGCCTAAGTGTTCTTAGAAGCATGTTGAACGGTGCGGATTGCGGGTTCATATAGTGTATAACAGTGTATACCTCGTCAGCAGGCCCGCGGGCTTAACTTTTTGATCATTTTTTCAAACGTTTCCGATGCTGTAGTCGTACATTGTAGTAACAAGAGTAAACAAGCAAAACTCGCACCCGTTCTGTTTGTCCTCTTGCTCCCTGTGCAGTGCGCTGTGGAAGCGTCTCGTGGCTGCCACCCCGGCGGCGCTTTTGATGTGAGGCAGGGGAGAAGAAAGCCATTGTATGTGAATCTAGTGCATCCTAAGCAAGGCATGGGCCGCCGAAAATTCTTAAGGCGTTGTGACTACGAAAGTTGAGCAGATGGACCGAACAATGTTGACAAGCTTCTGTGAGTAGATCAAGGTGAGCTTGGATGGACTGAAAACTATCTGTGTGCTGGCGAGGCCGCAAAGCCGTGAAGGTTTTTGTTGCGCTTGGGCACTTCGTCTGCCGAGCAGCCTGGGTCCACGGGCCCAACTTTTTGGGAGGCATTGTTCATGTGTAAGAAGATAGGCACGTTTCTCCTCTGGCCTGTGCGGTCCTGGGCCCCTTGATACAAAGGGCCAAGCTCCAAGCTCCCGCCTCGGCAATTTTTGATCCACTCGTATGCATCAAAGCATGGCATGGCAAGTGCCATGCAGAGCCGCGCTCTGCTGTCAGAAGCGCTGGCACCAGAGTTAAAGGCTCTGGCTCACGCCCGTTCAACTGTGTTGCAACAAGCAAATGGATAACTTGTGTCTTGCCCGCCCCTAGTAATTGCTTCTGTTGAGTAATTCGTCATGGTCAGACTACCTGATCAGCGGAACATGCCGGCAACCAGACCAGGAAATGGGCTTGGCTGATGTGGCGACCGGAGTAGCGATCCGGCTTCGTTGCAGCAGCCGAATAAGTAACTCTAATTTGCAGTCTGCGCAAAAACTCTGGCTGGCAGACCACAGCCCGGCATAGCCCGGCAAGGCGCTAGCCGGAGACTCGGAGACAACATTTGCAGCCTCTTACGCGGTGACGCGGTGGAGCCATTTCATGAATGCCCGGAGCTGAGCGCAGACTTTCAAGAAATCGTTTCCTGCAGAATGTTGGTTTGCATCTTCTGCATCTCGGCTCTCTTCATAGTGGAAGGCTGCCCTGGCACGAATTTTCCTGCCCGCTGCCTGGGCGCCAAGGATTCCATTTGTACATGTGCTGAACCCAGCATCCCGCATGTTTGGAGATCTGCTGATGCCAAAGGCTCGCAATTTAAATCTCATCTACTCATCGTAACTCGTTGAGGGCTTGCGCATCGGATCTCCAGAATCTCTTCTAATCATGAATCTTGCCTAATTCTACTTCGGCAAGCACTGCCTGCCGCCAAAATTCTCATGCGTTGCGGGAAGGTGCCGTGCTCTGCGCACTTGACAGAGGCTCAGGCTTGGATACTGCAGAGTATGAGCTGAGCAGCTGCCTTCCCAAACAGTGCCAATTCTCATGGACCCTCTCTTCACGTCGGAGTGGATCTCCAGCCGTTCCGTCCGGCGCCAACAACGCCATCCTGTGCAAAATGGGTTGATGTGCCGTAGCTGTGTGCCCATGCCTCCTAATGTGTAAGTCCCTGCATGTGTCAACATATGTTCTTCTATCAGGAAGGATGCGAACAAAGTAGCGCGCGCTGCTGTGTCTTGCCCCTAACTACTACAGGGAAAAGCGAGCCTGTCTTAATCGTGTGCCAGCAACAAGGCTCCTGCACGACACCGAACGCAGGATTTGTGGTTTGAGGTTTGCAGAAGGCGACCATGATCCTGGCACATGCCAATGCCCTGATGATCAGTAGACGGTAGACGTCATGCATTTTTCTTGTAGGGCGGCATGAAAAATTTAGAAAGGAATGGACCAACTCATAGGTACGACTTTGGCCAGGCGATGATGTGGCAGTTTGGGATGTTTGCATCTGAACTTTGTAGGTCTTTTAGCTTCCAAGCGGACAAAGCTCATCTCCCGCATAAAGCTTGGTGGCATCATGTGTGCGGTTTTCATCGCATTGTCACATCCATCACATGTAACGCAAATCCACATGCGGTATGACTCAGTCGAATGGAGCGTGGTGGTTTAGGAGTGGCTTGCAATTCAGTAACGATCCTTCTAGGTCCTGACCTGGACATCTATATCTATCTCGCGCGAGAAGTCAGCCTCAGTGATGGCAGTTCGTCAACCATAGTGGCATTGGACGCTTCGCCTGCGAGTGAAGTTCAAGTCGAACCCCGCGTCCTCTACAAACCAGTCAACACCAACAGCACAGCGCCGATCTTGAAACCCTCTGAAGTTACACACTGTGCTAAGCGCATCTTTGCTGCGGAGTCTTCTTGTCGGCGGCTCTGAGGAAGGGAGCACCAATGGAGGCGCCTGGCCTTGGATGGAGCTCCCTGGGCATCAGTCTCTGCTTCGAAAAGGATTTCAGAAAGGGAAAGAGTGAAGCTATTGTGATAAATAGCCTCGAGTGTAGTAAAATCAAAGATTATTCCTATTAAGCTCTTGAGCGAGAGTGGTACAGAGCTCGCAGCGCCATAATGCTTGTCCACCCCACATGAATTGCAATCCCATGTTGATTCGTCTGCTGCGCTTCAAAGAAGTGTTTGGGAGGTTTGGAGAGGATGGACCGACACGCACACGCAAGCCGAATCAAAGCCTACTTGCCAATCTGAAGTCTGATGTCCACACCCTGCAGGTCTCCTCACGCCGTGCCACCGCGCCGCCTCAGGCAGCTGCAGCTCGAAGTGGGGCAAAGGCTGGGCGAAGGGAAGAGGCAGCGAATCTAACAGCGCGAGTAGCTTCAGGGATTTTGAGTTGGAACGATAAAAAGAAGAGGTTTCTAGACGTGGCAGCCAGGGCGATGCGAATCCCACTATCACGATGAAAAGACTTTCTTGCTTTCTCCCATTCCAGTTCTACTATCACCGTTTGGAGATGCAAGTTGAAGAGCAACCGTTGGTGTACCCTCCAGCAGCCCCATCAAAAGGGAGGCGTAGAAGCAGAATGGGTTTGTCTAGACATTGCTTGTCCCTGCTCTGCACTCGAAAAGGCTGCCTCTTTTCAAACTCCACCTGCATTTCTTGATTACAGATTCTGTGCTGAAGCCTAAGCACTTTAAATCCTTCGACAGCCCTGCAGCTTGCATCCATGCGCCCACGAGATCCTCGCAATCTGGCTGCCAACACTGATTGTCTGGATTCTCTCAGTGATGTATATTCGCAGGCTTTCCTTGCAGGCCAGGGTCCCATTGACGGCGGCAGGGTTTGCTGTCATCTGCCGGTTGTTCCCATAGCCTGGATGCGTAGAATCTGTTTGGGAAGTTCCTTCGACTAGATCGGTAGTCGGTCGAGCGCTTTTCCTTGCAGAAAGCCATCTTCAGGCAGTTTTGCAGTCCCTCGATGTGTGCCTTAAAGCATGCAGCTTGAGAGACTGTTCTTCAGGTTGCTGGTGGCACGCTCACTGTGTCATGCTAAGGCTTCGATGATTCAAGTGGCACCTTCAATGCTGATGGATTTGAGAGCCCTGCTTGCAGGGAGCCGGATTTCTGTAGCATTCTGATGTGAGAGTAGTTTACTGTACCTTGCAACACGGTCATTCTTGCTTTTGGTTGCGCAGATTTGCTTGCAAACCTTTGATCGAATTGGGTCGTGCCTCAAGCCTAATATGGGGTCTCCTGAGAATGTGTCTAGCTCAGGTATAGTTGATGCAGCCAAGCCACCTTTGATGAACCTAAGGAAGGCGTACTCTTTCTTGGAAGAGACGGCCGGCTGCAATCAGATGTTTTTTGGAGACCTTCGTGGATGCCTCCGTTGCTTCAGCACAAGATGCCTGACGTTGAAGGTACCGCGCAGAAGAGCTTGACAAGTTGAAGGAAGCCAAGCAGAAGCTGCAACACATGCGCAAGAAGAGGCAAAAGGCCGGTGCATGGTGCTATTTCTGGTTGGCACATTTGCTATGCGAGGGCAAGCAGGGTGCTTGCCACCGGGTGCTTGGGAACGAACATAAGGAGGCCAAGGTAATCTTGGTGGCCTAGTGATCTGAATGCGTGTCTGCCTGCTGCATGGTTCTGACAAGCTGAGGAATGAATGAATTCATGAATGAATAAGTTCATGAATGAATGAGTAGAGCTGTGGGAGGACCCCGCATTGGAGGCGCATGAAGAGGAGGTCACAAAAGAGACGCTTAGATGCCTGGACATGGCTCATCTATCTCAGCATGAGCCGGCCCAAATCTGAGGATCAAGCGTCGGGTACAACAAGACAAGCAGAGGCCTTGCTGCTGCACAGGGGTTTGTCAACACAAGCAATAATGCGCGGTCTGCCAGCTTGTTAGTTTGTAGTGAAGTGGGTCAGACGGCAGGCCGATTTGCGTGACATCGTTGCTAGTTAGATGTTTGAATGAATGCTGCAGGAAACACCTGGGGCGTCTTCGGGAAGCCGAGAGGACCCTAAAAGGCCAAGAAAGACAAAAGGTCAAGGAGACTGGCAAGGCACTGGCACCTTGTGCATACATGGGAAAAGATGACCCGCTGATCAGCATGCAAGCATGCGACAGACCTTGGACATCCCCAGGTTGCAGTGGGGTGCAGGATCTGATGCAACCAGATAACGGAAGCTGAACGTTCATCTCAAGGCTTAGGTGACGCATGCATCACAAGGGTGCCTACAATCACACCTCCTGTGCCCACACTAAATCATCGCTCAAAAATCCTGTCTAGCGGGAGGTGCCTTACTTCCATCGGAAAAAGGCAGCGCGACAGCTGCTGGCAGAAAAGAAGAAGGAGGTCCCTGTGCGATGCTTTGCAAGTTGGGTGCCATGGGCTGATCTGGCACGAGATATGATTTTCTAGTCATATTGTTCAGAAGCCCCGGGAAGCTGAACAAACCTGACACGGATGCATTCAAGCCGGCATACATGTAGGGAGTGCATGGGGGTGTGGCAGATTCCACGGGTAGTTCATTCTGCAGACAGCCCAGGAACCACTTGCATACTGTGAGCTGGCATTGGGTCCTCATTGAAACGCTTTACCGCCCGTCAGATGAAACAGTACGCTCGCCAGTAGCAGTGCTGGCAACCTCTCCTCACTTGCAGGAGAAGAAAGGAAAAAGTAGCAGAAACAAGGAGGAGGCCTTCCAGCAGTTCTGACTACGTTACCAATTTGCATGCTACACAGACATGCTCTTGAGCCACCTAGGAGCGTAACAGCTGCATTCCAT